GGCCTCCTGAGTTCCTGGGCGGCCCAGGCCGGGCCTCCAAGCACAGCCGCTTCCCGGGCCGGGCCTGCGTCCTTGGGGCCTTCCTGGGGCCCAGGCACCCGCTCTCGGGCGGCAGGGGCTCGGCCCTCCAGGCGAGGGCTGACAGGAGGCAGCCCAGCTGGGCCGGCGGGTAGGGCCCGGTGGGAGGTGATCGGCTTTCATTCTTTTTCCAAGGGAGGAGGAAGAACTGGGGTGGGGCGCAGGTGGGGGCCTCCCTTTGCCTCCCCTCCACTCCCTTCATCTCTCCTTCCTTTTGTGGAGTGATTAGATAGGTTTCCTGGCTGCACCTTCCGGGAGGAGGATCAGGGTGGGCAGTGGGATTGCGCCCCAGGGGCCTCTGGCTCTGGCAGCCATTTATGCCAGAAAAAGAAACAACCACAACACAGTTGGATTGATGCAGCCAGACCTCGAACGTGCTCAGAGCAGCCACCTTTCTCCTCTGCCTGCTTAGATTACCAAGTGGTACCTGCTTGTTCATGCAACCTGCTGCCTCCACCAAGAGCAGCAGCCCCTTTCCTTCCTCCCTTCCCAGAAGATGCTGAGGATGACAGCTTTTAGCTTCACTCTTATATTTTGTCGACAGAACAGTTAGAAGTCAGGCTGGCCTATGAGGACATACTTTACCCTTCCTCCTCTCAGGAGAAAACTTACAAACTTTTCAACTTCAGAGGCGGATGAGCTGGAAACCTGAAAGTGGGTTGCCTGTGACTCTAAAAATTCCTCCCGCTCTCTGGCATTATCATATGCTGCCACAAAGTGGTGAGTTAGAGATTTGCCTAGGCCGGGTGGGCTTTACCTTGCATTGATTACCCAGAATATTATAGCCCTGGAGCAAGGTAACAGGTTGTCTCCAGAAGGGAATTGGAGAGAGATGCTCTGTTGTTACATGGCTGAGACAGACCAGTGCAGTTTCTCACATTTTTCTGCAGGCATTGATAGCCAGTCAGAGAGATTCAGAGGATTTAGAACTTTTTTTTTTTTTTTTTTTGGTTTTGGTTTTCTGAAAGATGGCTAAAGTAAAGACATTCTGCTCTGTGGACGAGACTGGGTGGCTCTGGGAACCTAGCTCCTATCATCTGTGGGTTTAGGTCTCTGCCAGGCCATCCATCCTATTATGTGGCAAGAGGATAGGTATGTAGCCAGAGTGGAGGGCTTGGAGATAGGTGAGGAGGGGTGTGAGCCAGTGCCACACAGGAGAGGTAGTCCTTGGTTCTATGTAGATTTTCTAATGTTGTCTGCCAGAGGCCTTTTGCCATTGGGCTCTCAAACCTGGGAGGTGTGGCCTTTTTAGGTCAATAGACTGCTCCTTTGAGCAGTGGGGTCCTGGGTCAAGACTCAGGGTAGCAATGGGAACAGGCTTGCAGGCCTTAGGGAGGCCTCTGTATTGTGAACAGATCACCCCAGGTTCTCACCTGGAGACACCTGACTGAAGAGAATTGGCAGGAAGCTGAGGAAACTCATGTAGGCTAGGATGCCCTGGCTCAGGCATGGGTAGAGTAGAGGCAGCTGCCATCCCCTTTGCCTAGAGGAGCTGAACTTCCCGCAGACTACTTTGGTGGCAAGTGAAGGGAACATCTCCCAGTCCTGAGTGTCTACTTTGGTGGCAAGTGAAGGGAACATCTCCCAGTCCTGAGTGTCTCTCTTCTCAGATGTGGTTTATGTCCAGGGGCAAGTGCAGGCGGAACAGGGAGAGGATGGGGAAGGGCTGCTTGTTTCTGCTCATGCTCATGGTTTTTCTCTTCCCCACAGAACTGCTCACTGTGGAAGGCAGAGTTTCCCTGGCAGTGTTGGGACCCTGTCTTGAAGCACCCCCTGCCCTGTAGACGCAGCCTTGTATTCTGTCTCCTCACTTGATGACTAGGGCCGTCTGACCAGTCCTCCTCCGTGCTTTGTCTGAGGTCCTTGTCCATCCTTGAGATTGGGCAACTTCTCTCTCTGAGTTGGGTCACCTTAAGCGGGAAACTGAAGCCATTAATCTCCAAACCCTGTTTCATCTTCCCAAGCATGTCGGAAAGCTGGCAGCAGCCGCCTCAGACACAGCCGCAGCAGCCCCAGCCACCCCAACCTCAGCACCATGCCGAGCCCCCACCGGCCCTGGCAGAGCATGCGCTGCCCCCTGGTACTGCTGAGAACCCCCTGGGCTGTGCGGTCTATGGCATCCTCCTGCAGCCAGACACGGGCCTGCAGCCTCCACAACATGCACCCCTGCAGGCAGCCGGGGAGCCAGGACCCAAATGCGGTGTGTGTGGTCACGACCTGGCACACCTGACTAGCCCTCATGAACACCAGTGCCTGGCGGGCCACGACCGCTCATTCCAGTGCACGCAGTGTCTCAAGATCTTCCACCAGGCCACTGACCTGCTGGAGCACCAGTGCGTGCAGGCCGAGCAGAAGCCTTTCGTCTGCGGAGTGTGCAAGATGGGCTTTTCCCTGCTCACCTCGCTGGCACAGCACCACAGCGCGCACAGTGGCCTCGTGAAGTGTTCTATCTGTGAGAAGACCTATAAGCCAGCCGAGGCCGCAGAGCCTGCCACTGCTGCTGCCCCATCACTTCCGCCAACTGCCCCGCCTCCTACTGTCGCCCCTACAGAACAGGCTGATAAACCCTACAGCTGTCCCATCTGCCAGAAGCCCTTCAAGCACCTGTCGGAGCTCTCCAGGCATGAGCGGATCCACACAGGTGAGAAGCCGTACAAGTGCACGCTGTGTGACAAGAGTTTCAGCCAGTCGTCCCACCTGGTGCACCACAAGCGCACGCACAGCTCTGAGCGGCCCTACAAGTGCGCGGTCTGCGAGAAGACCTTCAAGCACCGCTCTCACCTGGTGCGCCACATGTACGCGCACTCCGGCGAGCACCACCTGTTCCGCTGTAATGTGTGCGAGCTGCACTTCAAGGAGTCCTCGGAGCTGCTGCAGCACCCCTGCACTCCAAGTGGCGAGCGGCCCTTCCGCTGCGGCGAGTGCCAGAAGGCCTTCAAGCGGCCCTCGGACTTGAGGCAGCACGAGCGCACACACAGTGCCGAGCGCCCCTTCAAGTGCGACCTGTGCCCCATGGGCTTCAAGCAGCAGTATGCGCTGATGCGGCACCGGCGTACACACAAGACGGAGGAGCCCTTCAAGTGCGGGCTATGCGAGAAGGGCTTCGGGCAGCCCAGCCATCTGCTCTACCACCAGCACGTGCACACCCTCGAGACTCTCTTCAAGTGTCCCATGTGCCAGAAGGGCTTCGACCAGTCGGCAGAGCTGCTACGGCACAAGTGCCTGCCCGGCGCAGCCGAGCGGCCCTTCAAGTGCCCTGTGTGCAACAAAGCCTACAAGAGGGCGTCGGCCCTGCAGAAGCACCAGCTGGCGCACTGCACCGCGGCCGAGAAGCCCCTGCGCTGCACCCTGTGTGAGCGCCGATTCTTCTCTTCCTCCGAATTTGTGCAGCACCGCTGCGACCCAGCCCGAGAGAAGCCACTGAAGTGCCCAGACTGTGAGAAGCGCTTCAAATACGCGTCAGACCTGCAGCGGCACCGGCGGGTGCACACGGGCGAGAAGCCCTACAAGTGCCCCAACTGCGACAAGGCCTTCAAGCAGCGGGAGCATCTTAACAAGCACCAGGGTGTCCACGCCCGAGAGCAGCAGTTCAAGTGCGTGTGGTGTGGCGAGCGCTTCCTGGACGTGGCCCTGCTGCAGGAGCACAGTGCACAGCACAGTGCTGCCGCTGCAGCTGCCGAGGGCGCCTACCAGGTGGCCGCCTGCCTACCCTGAAGCCAGGCGATGGCTCCTAGGGCCCAGCCCAGCCTCGCCTCCTTATAGCTGCAGCCCACCAACCCCCCACCCAGCTCCATCTTCTTAGGCTCCAGGAGTGAGGACAAACAGTACTGGGCCAGTGGAGGGTGAGTGTACTCAGCACTCCTGTCACCAGCCTGGCCCTGGGGAGCCAGATCTGTGGCCAGTCCTGACTCCATAAACCTCTTTCCCGTTGCAGGGTTTGCTTTCTGAGGGCAGTAGTTTCCCTCATCTCCGGAGGACTGAAATTCCACGGGCAGTCACATGCTCTCTCTCTGTCCCAGGGTTGGGGGGTCTACCAACCCAATCTTTCCAAATCTTTCAGGCCACAAGATGGGTTTGGAAGGAGTATGGTCATGGTAGGTTCTGGACCTCAGAGGTGGGCTGGGTATAAGGCATCCCCTCAAGTTGCTGTTTGTGACCTAGTTCTGGGGATCAGGATAGACTGAGCCTCAGCCTTTTGCCTGCCCCAGACTGGGGTGATGTGTCCCTTGGGTTTCTGATAGTCAAGTTGTCTTTGGGAAGCTCTGTCTGGAAAGTAATGGGCATGGCTAGGAAGGGGGAAAGGAGGATTGGCCCATCGAAGGCTAGTCCTGTGGTTTTGAAAGCCCCCTCCCAACTTGCAGTGTGCTTCCTATTGGTGGTGGGGAGTGTATCCTTAGCCAGATGGAACTGCTGATGGGGGAGAGGAATGTAGGGCGAAGGGGATTGTAGGAGGAAGTAGGGTGAGGTTCATGATCCCCTAGCAGATGGAAACAAGTATCCTCTTCTCAAATTTTGAGAACCAAAATGTTCAGGGCTCAGGGGCATAGCCCCAGTGTGCTTGCCCCAGCCCTGCCTCAGGGCCAAGACCAGGTCCGGGTACCCAGGGGGAATGACCTCTGACTCCACAGTGCGCTCCTAGTCCATGGGAGTGCCATCCCTCCATTGTTTTGGCTGCTGGCCTGAACCTAGGGATTTTATATTGTCAAAATGCCCTGGATAATATCCAGCTACTTAGAAAACTGCAGTATTCTCCTGTGGATCCTCCTAGAGTACCCCAGGTCTCTGGCTGCCCTCAGGGCTCTTGGAGCAGAAAGTGCCCAGGGCATAGGGAACAGGAGGAAACAGTGGGTTTGGGAACCCAGCAGGCAGTGTGCCTGGCAGGAGGATGGGGTCAGCCTGGTTGCTGGTGGCCAGGGCCTGCTAAGGGGCCCAGAGGCCCTTTGTTACCAAAATAACCATTTTGAACCCAGCTTTGCCCCCTGCCCTCTTCCAGCCCCACCTCTCTCTGGTGTGGGTCTTGAAAGAAGACTGATCAGTGCACACACCAAGGGCCCGGAGGTGCAGGAAGACACCACCTTGCCTCTCTCTTACCTTCTGAAGTCTGAACAGCCACATCTGCCTCCTCTGTCTGACTGGGTTCCCTCCTGTGCCTGCAGAGAGGGGGCTAGTCCTTCCCCTCGGTGCTGGCTCTCAGTCACAATGCCTCAAAAGACCAGAACCCAGGCTTACAACAGTCCCAACCGCTATTTTTTTTCTTTTCACTTTGCTTTCTAAAAGCAGTTTGTTATACTATTCATAACATTGTATAGTTTAATTTCATGTCATTTTCAATCTTATACATAAATGTGAAAATCTGGATTTTTAAAAAGGATGACTCCATTTTAGGTAGCCACTTTTGATGTTAATATATAGTGAACCCAATGTATGCTTTAGAAGTAAAGACATCGACTGTCATAGACCAAAGCTCTGTTTGTTCTGGTCATTTTTCCACAGGGAAATGATGGGACATGGAGAGACAGAGAAAGGCATGCGGGCCAGAGTGTCAGGTTGGGATCTGGGACACAGGGCTGGGTTTGAATCCTGAGCTTTGAATGTTCTGACTATGTGGCTGTGGCCTTGGGCAAGTCACTTAACCTCTTTGAAGTTACCTAGTCTATTAAAAAAAAAAAAAAAAAAAAAAGGAGGTTAACCTTTGCCTTGCTTGACTGTTGTGAAAAAGAAATGGAGTCTCGGTGAGGCCCAGGTGGGTAAGCTGCCAAGGTCCTGACAGTATCAGCTGCAGGACGCCTGAGTCCCTGGGGAATGGACCTTTCCCCTTTGACCTTGGATTAAAACTATAGCCCTGGAGGAGGGAGCTGGGCCATGAGGGATCAGTGCAGCTCATGGAAGGCCAGAAGCTGGAGTCTGGGCCTGGTAAACAAGAGAGCTTGTCCAGCCCCTCCCTGGAGCAGGAGACCTTGCCAGCCAGGCCCACCTCAGAGGGCCTGACCCCACCCCACGGCCATTCACCCTGTACCATTATGCCCCCTCTGCATGCCCAGCCCAGCAGCCCTCTACCTAAGGGTCTGCACACCTTTCCCTGTAGTCCACCCCCACCAATGGCCCAGCTGCAGCTCAGGCTCTTTCCATTTCTCAGAGGCAAAGATGGGGCTGGGCAGAGGCGGGGAGAAAGCTAGCAAGGGTACCCTGCCCTGGGTAGAAGGTAAGTGTAGAAGTTAAAAGGAGGAGGGGCTGGGGATGTGGCTCAAGCAGTAGCGAGCTCGCCTGGCGCGTGTGTGCCCCGGGTTTGATCCTCAGCGCCACATACAAAGCTGTTGTGTCCGCCGAAAACTAAAAAATCTCTCTCTCTCTCTCTTTAAAAAAAAAAAAAAGTTAAAAGGAGGAGCTACCTATACTTCAAAGGATTAAAAGTCTGGAAGCTTAATAGGAAGCTTAGTGAAAGGCTGGGGCCTTGGATGTGACCCGCATCCTCTGTTCTTATTCCATGTGGCCCGGGGCACACCCCATCCTTAAGAAGCTGTGGAATTCCTTCTTGCTGTCTCTCTCAGCAAGGGGATGACCACTGCCCTTTGTGTCTGTACCAGGCTCGAGTCCCAGCTTACTTTCTAGCTGTGTGACCTTAAGCCAAACCCATCTACCTGGGGAGCAGGATGGGCCTGAATATTCCCTTTATGCAGGCCGATGGGTTATTCAAAGCCACACAATGATGCAAGTGGCCTGGAACTGGGGGTGGTGTCACATGAACCTGGTTCCTGCACACTGGTGAATGACAGAAACCGAGACCCTGAACAACTGAAGCTTCTAGCTCTGGTCACTGATGCCTGGGACTCTGGCTTCAGCTGGCCAGGAAGCTGGGAACAATGGCCAGGACTGGTCCTGCTGCCCTGTCTGGCCAAAGGAGCAGGACAGCTCTTCACCAGCAGGCCAAGGGGGCCAGCCTCCCAGCCTGCTCAGCTGCCTGAGGGATTGCAGTTACTAGGCTCCACCTTCCCATTTGTGCAGAGGCAGCGCCTCCATAGACAGCCTGCGCCTCTGGGCACTGACATACAGGTTATCTCTTGGTCTCCATTCCCATCCCACTACCCCTCTGTCTTCCTCCAGAGCAGGCCTCAGGTGAGACTATGGGCTGCTCAGGCCACAGAAATTCGCCCAAGGCCTCCCGGTCAGACTCTGGTGACAAGCTCCGCATTCAACCCTTAAGCAAGTGGTTTCTTTGTTCCTTGAAGGTCACGCCTCCAGGAAGAGCCTTGGCTGCTATTGATTTTCTCAAACCTACAAAGATTCCAGCCAGAATATCCTGCAAAGAAGTGGGGGGGGGGGCTGTGGAGTCTCTATCTTACTACACGACTCCATCCTCTCCCTGGGTCTACACTCCTTCTTTTGTTCATCCACAAGCATTACTGAGCACCCACTGTTTGCCAGAGGGTGCAACAGGGCACTAAGCAAGAACTTCAGATGAGAGGGTTTGGAATTTTCATGAATCAAAAAGTAGGATCAAAAAATGTCAAAATTGCTGGGTGTGGTGGCACACACCTGTAATCCCAATGGCTCGGGAGGCTGAGGCAGCAGGATCTTGAGTTCAAAGCCAGCCTCAGCAACTTCGAAAGGCCCTAAGCAACTTATTAAGACCCTGTCTGAAAATATAACATAAAAAGGGGGGCTGGGGATGTGGCTCAAGCGGTAGTGTGCTCGTCTGGCATGCATGCGGCCCGGGTTCGATCCTCAGCACCACATACAAACAACGATGTTGTGTCCGCCAATAACTAAAAAATAAATATTACAAAAAAAAATCTCTCTTTCCCTCTATCACTCTCTCTTTAAAAAAAAAAAAGAAAATATAACATAAAAAGGGGCTGGGGATGTGGCTTAGTGGTTAAGCACCCCTGGGTTCAATCCCTGGTACCAAAAAATATCTAGTATAAAATATGCTATGCAAAAGTCCCCCCAACCCTCATTCCATCCTACCTTCAGCTGGAATCCTCATCTAGTTCCTAAACCTGTCCCAGAGCCAGCCCCAGCCCTGGACTGTGATGTGTGTTGTACCTGTTGTTTTGTATTAAACACCACTGTTACTTTGTTGTAGTTATTTCACTTAATCCAGATCAGTGTTTTGGCTCTGGGTGACTCCAAGCCCTAATCTCTCAGCCCCGGTTATAAAGATAAGAGGCAGGCAAGTCCACTGTGGGCCAGAGGGCATGAGTGAGTCCCCTGAACAGCTGCAGTGTTTGTTTTCATGGTCTTGGGGAAGGTTGACTTGTCAGAAAGAAAGTGTGAGCTTTGGGTAGGAAGAGGTGGGGAAAGCGTTTCTTGTGGAAGGATAGTTGTGAGCCAAGTTTTGGAGGCAGACAGAGCCTGGGTGTTTGGGACAGTGAGGAGGCAGGTGGGGTTTATTTTGGTATAAAAGGATCAGGGTATTGAATTGGGGTCAGGCCTGGAAGGCCTTGAGGCCAGGTCAGGGTGACTGGACTCTCCTCAAGATTTTGTCTGTAATGAAAACTTCTGATTTTCTGATATGATCTGCTTTATGAAGAACAAGGAACCCCAGAGGCTAAGAAGAGGAGGAGGATGGGAGATAGTGGACATCAACAGCCACCCAGAGCTAGCTTGCTTGCTTTCTGATTTTTTTGTTTTCTTTTGGAGACAGATTGGTCCTGGGATCAATCACTGGATCCAGTGATTTTCCTGCTTCAGCCTCCCAAATAGCTCCCAATAGGACATTAGGGGCACCACCATGTCCAGCTTCAGAGAGCTTTCTGATGAGACATCCCGTCCTCCTTCTAAACTCTAGTCAGATGTCCCAGCCCCAGGAAGCCCCCTCTGACTTCCTGCCCACTCTTGGCTTCCCTCTCAGCAAGAAAGCAGTGGAATGTGGTGACCACAAGCGGGGGACCAGACAGGCTGGCTTCAATTCCCTTCTCTGCCAGTCACCACCTGTGTGATCTCATGCCAGGCACTTAACCTCTCCAAGTCCATTTCATCAACTGTTGAATGGGGCCTGCAAAGCCCTCACTGTATTGCCTTCCACTTGAGAATAGGAAGTGGACACTTAATCAGGTGTTTATGCTTTTCTACTCTCTAGTTCCTTTATTCTTAGGCACGCTTTTTCTTATGTTTATGAAATCAGGATTAAGTGTACAACCGGTGGGCAAGAACCTGTAATCAAGTTTCTGGGCTGGGTTACTGACCATGGCATCCTGGGCTGGAGGAACATGGTTCTGGTTTGCACCAGCTGGGCCCACTGGTTTCTCCCGTTGGATGGGAAGCATCCAGAGGCAGAGGTGGCATCTTGTCTGTGCCACCCCAGCACCCAGCACAGAGCTGGCCCAGGCAAAGGCCATAGACCTATGCTGGGCCTCATTTTGAGATGGACTTGCTCACCAGGAGGTGGGGCCAGGAATAAAACCTAGTCACTTGATTCCCTTTTATATGTTTCAGCATGCTCCCTAGAGCTGACTAGTGTCCCTTGTCACCCAAGACTCTAGTGTCTCTGTTGTGAGCCTTGGGCAAATCCATCTTTTCTCTGGCATTTGGAGGGGATTCTGGTGCTGGGTGGCCCAGGAACCCCAGAGGGCTCTGTGAATGGATTCCCAAAGTAGAAGTCAGCATGTACTATACTCTGAGCTTGTAGGAAAGGACTTCTGGATGAGTGGCAGGAGGCTGGGTACATCTTCAGCAGGCCCCTGAGGAAGAAGAGGCTCTGTGATGTCTTTACAATTTCCTGTCTGTTCCTGCCCAGGCTCCAGTCTCCTGCTCTGTTGTCAGCAGAGCCTACACTTTAGTATAGAAAGATGGCACCATGGTCCCTCATCTCAGTGTAAAGGCAATGACTGTCACTTCCACACCTGAAAGAAATTAAAATCAGCCTCAGTTCTAAAAGGCAGATTCTGCAGATCAAACCACATGCAATCCATCTTCTTATTTTTTTTTTTAAAGAGAGAGTGAGAGAGAGAGGGGGACAGAGAGAGAGAGAGAGAGAGAGAGAGAGAGAGAGAGAGAGAGAGAGAGAGAGAGAATTTTAACATTTATTTATTTTTTCTTAGTTCTCGGCGGACACAACATCTTCGTTTGTATGTGGTGCTGAGGATCGAACCCGGGCCGCTCGCACGCTAGGCGAGCGCGCTACCGCTTGAGCCACATCCCCAGCCCCCATCTTCTTATTTATTACCCAAAGTTAAGCAGAAAGATCACGATCTGGGAAAGAATTTCTTCCTACAAAAGTTGAGCACAAACAATATGTGGACACTGTGCCAAGTGCTGGGACATGAGACCTAGGTTCTGGGTTTGGCCGACTACCTGCTTGATCTGGGCCTCTCTTTTTCTATCTGGGAAATAGGCAGCATTGGTTTAGCTCACTCACTAGGGTGCTTGTGAGGCCCAGAGAAAAAACTAGTCCCAATGATAATGTGATAGAGATTTGTTGGTGCCTCTTTCTGAAGCGCTCACGATACCAGTGTATGGGGGGC